TCGTGTCATAACTCATAGGTAGAGATCGTATTGATCTCTCTTTGCAAGCAAGTTGTGTTATTCACTTGGGAGCATCATATTTTGTCATGAGATTTGATTATGTTATTGCTTAACATAAATTTCTTTCCTCCCCCTTCATCTTAGTTGTACTCAACTTGATCCTTACTTGCATGTTGATTATCCCCTGAATTTCATTTGAATTCTAAGTTCGAGTTCAACTTGAGTTCATGTCCATGCTCAAATCAAACTCTTCTTGGTTGAGTTTGATTCAAGTCCTTGTTGTTCAAATTATTGATATTCATATGAATGCCTTGCCTCATCATTCATTTGAGTTCAAGTTTATTTACATTAAGCTCATTATCATTTGTTCCATGTGCAAGCTCAAACCACAAGTGTTTAGCTCGAGTCTAGAGTACAAGTTCAAGTCTAAGTTAAAACTTATTGTACCAAGTTCATTTAGGTTCAAATTTTATCTTGAGTTCAAATTCAAGTTCTTTTCGATCCTTATAAGTTCAAATTGAGTTTGTGTCCAAACTCAGATCAAGCTCAAATCTTTGCTCAAGTTCAAATGTTCAAGTCATGCTTAATGTGCAAATCAAGTCCAACTTGAGTTTAAACTCAAGTCTAGTTTTTTTATAGTCTTATTTAAGTTCAAGCACCTTTTTAGTCATTTGATTTGAGTTCTGAGCATAGTTCCACGGTCATTTCTTTAATGTTCATTTCATTAAGTTTGATTTTAAGCTTGATTTTGTCCCAAGTTCAATCATCTTTGTCCAAGTCCCTTGTGAATGTTCAAGTCTTTGCCTTATTTTAGACAAAAATTCGCCATTTAGAGGAAAAAAACCAAGAGGCCGCCTACCCGCCACGTCAATAAAGACGTGCACAATTTGTGTTTGTGAGACACCGCGGCGGTGATTTTTGTTTTTTCATCTACCACGCCAATAAAGGCGTGCATGGGAGTTTTAAAAAACATTTAAAAAAAAAAAAACAGTTGCTTTCCCCCCGCTCGGGGGTGCTTATGAGTGACACCGCCTCACCGTAGGTGCCGCACCGAGATCCCATCCCACCAAGCACAATAAAGGCGTGCATGGCCGATTTTTCGGTCCACCACGAACATTGAAGTAGGGTTTTTATGTGATTACCCGCCTCGTCGTAGGCGCCGCACCGGGGTCCCATCCCATCACGAACAATAAAGGCGTGTATGGGCGGTTTTTTCAGTAAATTTGCAATTAAATAGACTAACCTGATACTTATAATGATGCTTTGCCTTACAAATGCAATTGCAAGTATTAATCATAGACTAGATACTCTAGAACCATGTTAGTAGAGCTAACAAGATCGAAATAAACAAAATGAAGGCCTTAAAATCCTGATAAAGGCAATGTCAGCAAAAAATCTCCACTAGAGGAGAACATGATTTTTCAAAATGCCCCCGTTTTGCCCCCCAATCACAACATAAACCAATTTGAGCTCAAATATTACAAATATATAAAAAAAAAAATACAATATTCAAAATATTTAAAGTGAAATCTACCACCTAAAACATAAAGCAAAATTCATCTATATTTTGCAACCATTTTTCGAGTGCAATAAATTTATAAATAATCTCAGCTCACAAAGAGTCAATATCTCATTAAGCGCATTATTATATCCTGATGTGATACAAAGATGATGAACAAGAATTGCTTTTAGGAAATTAATAAAATGTGAATTTTACTTGGCTAAATATAAGCGGATGCTTCTTTAAGTTAGATCTTAAGAAATTCCATGAGAATACAAAGCACTGACAATCAATTACAATTGAGATTAATAGGTTACTTGCAAAATAACAACAACAAATAAACGAGTAAAGCAAATGGCAAGTTAACAAAATCCACAGTTTAATAATTAGATCATTCACCTTGGGATCCCTCACTCACACTCTTGAAGGTGATGGGCTTAGTGGAAGAATGTTGCAAGCAAACCTAGAGATGCCACTAGAAGACACGTGATGCCGAGGGTACTAGTCGCTGGGGAAGGAATCGGGTTGGAGGAACGGGTAGTTGTCCGGTGATCTTCCACTCTTCAAAAGATTTTTGTTCGTCGATGACTTCCGCTAAGTGGGGGAGGATACGATCCACGTATTCCTTGATGATGCCTTCAGCTCCAAATCCGGGATCAAAGAATGGTGATCGGATGACGTCAATATCCCCTTGAGAATTGAGAATAAGCCCGTGATCAACTTCCGGATCCGTCATGCATGCTTACCGGGAGAGATGAAGGGGCACAAATGGGGAGAAGAGGGAGAGGAGGTGGTGGGTGGAGGGGGATGATGTTGGGCCAGCTTGAGGAAGGGGAGGGGACGGCTAGGGTTTGGTAGAGGTGGGAAGGGGTAGGATTTAGAAATCTGAAATTAAATTCAGATTACCAAAGGTGGGGGAAGAGGCTAATTTGAATTTCAATTTTTTTTCCAACAAGGCAAGGGAAGGGAGGCCGACAGTTTTTGTGAGCATTAAGGGGGGAATTAAATGATAATTGGAGAGAGAGAGAGGGTAAAGGGTGGCCGGCCATATAGAGTGGGGAGAGGGAGATTTTGTCTTAATTAGGTGGACCCCAATGGTTAATTATTGGATCTAAATCAAATCTGAAATATATTTCAAATTTTATTCAACAGGCAAGTTTCCTAATTTAAGTCCAAGCCTTTGGAAAGTATTTGAATTTCAAAATTTGATTGAAATCAAAATTGGAAACTTTCCTAAATATCTTGAGCCTATTTTAGGAAGGTAGTGAAGCCCCTTTTGAATTTGAAATTCAAAATAGATCCAAAGGGGATCCGGTGGGTTTGGACTTGAGGGAAAGGGGCGGCGGGATGGTGGGTGGCCGCCAGTTTTGATAGGTGGCCGGCGGCTAGGGGAGTTATTGGAGGCCGGCGGGAAGGGCATTGGGAGAAGGGGTTCGGGTATGGGGAAAATTAAGGGGAATATTGGCGGTAGGGAGGAGAAAGAGTAGGAAGGAGATAAATCAAAAGACTAACTGAGAGCTCGGAATCCACCGGCGGCTGTTGGGTATTGCAAATCCCTCTCCTAGGATTCTCTCCACTCAAGAGCTCACAACTTGAGACAAAGAAACAAAGATGAAATTTTACTCAATAATCATCACCCATTACAATGCAAGATGACTCCTATAAATAGGCCCAAATGAAAGAAACATAAAAGACGAAAGTGCCCTCGGACTACAACATAGACTCAACTCCCCATAGGGGTAAAATGGGAAAACTCAAATGCAACATAAAATATAAAACAAAAAATACATAAAAAATATAGACTCTGAATCGTAGCCATCGATCCACGACTACGTCGACGATATACATGTTGAAATCTCTGACTGATGTCCTCATCATATCCACTCTCAAATAATTTCTTGTAAGAAAAAGACTTGTCACATGTCCTCTAATTGGTGATTTTATCACCAAATGATATCTAAGATAAATAGTTATGATCTGAGCCTTCTAACCGAATAATTTTATCGTCAAATAACACCATTAAATTAAGGTTCTAGCTAGAACCTGCAAGTTCTCTAATGATTTAAAAATCCTTTAGTAGATCATTGAATGGACTTAATAGGGCAAAAATCCTCCATTAGCAGGCTATGCCTTATGTGTATCTTAAGAGAGTCAATTGGTATATGCTTTTATCAAAGGACTCAATTGCTCAAATTTTTAAATGGTTATCTCCAAGTTGGAAAAGAGGCCATCTATTCTCCAACTTTAGGGCAAGTGTTAAAAACTACACATGTTATAAAAGGAAATCCATGACAACTTGATGTGGGAATGCTATAGAAGGAAGCTCTTGATTAAAATATGATTGTATGCATATTCTGTTAGAAAATTTATTATGCTAATATAGTTAAAATATATATATTTTTAGTCTTTGAATCAAGGGTTGTGTAGCTCTAGATATTTTCTGTAAAGAATGGTTTTCCTTAAATTTTTTTGGAATAGTTTATAGGGGTGTAAGTGAGCCGAGCCGGTTCGAGCTTGGCTCGTTTATAGGCTCGCGAGCCGAGCTTATCGAGCTCACAAGTCGAGCTTCGTAAGGCTTGGCTCGTGAGCTTGCAAGCCGGCTCAAATTATTGTTTGAATTTTTTTTCTATTTTTAATATTTTTATTACATTTAAAAGTTTTAAGAAAATAAAATTAAAATCTTTAACAACCACATAATTAATAAAAAAAGTCTCAAATATCAATAGTAATAAATGCTGCAGCTTGGCTTATTATTAAACAATGAAATTTTTGAATAATCTTGCGGCTGGGCTTTCTTTTCAAAGCTTTACTTATTATTAAACAATAAAATTTTCAATACGAATGATATTGCAAAGCCGACCCCACGTAGTGGGATAAAGGCTTGATGTTGTTGTTGTTGAATGATATTGCAAAGCATGGCAACTGTGAGAAAATAGGCGGGAAAACCGGACGGGATAACTAAAATAGGCGGGCGTAAAATCGACACGGGTGGGAAATTGAGTGGGCTCGATGAGCTCAGTACAGTGTCGCGAGTCGAGCTCGAGCTTGACTTTTGAGCTCGAATCGAGCTCAAGCTCGGGTTCGAGCTCGCTTTCTGGCTGACGAGCTGAGCTCGATAGTGTTAAAACTCGACTTGACTTGACTCATTTACACCTCTAATAGTCTATATATTGCTATGCATCAATAGCTTAGAATCAATGTGAAAGAATTAATGCTTGTCCCCCCTTTCTTGAAAATTTGCATTAGAATCAATAGACCTTGAAATGTCTTGCATTCGCACCGGAAACTAAAATCAGTTCTAAAAACTAAGATTTTTAACTTCTTAAAGCACACAAACTGAAACTCCTAAGTCTGAAATCAAAATCGAGTGTTAGAATATTTCCTTGTGGAAGGAAAATTGATAGCAATGATACAAGAAGGTGAAGAATGGTAAATGGCCACAGCTAAAAAGTAGGATTTACTCTAAACTTAAATGCCAAGGCCAAGCAATTAAACTAACCGTCAAGCAAATATTCTATGGCACTTAGTGGTGTTGCGGGATTTAAGACAACTCCAGCTTTGGCTCCCAAGCTTTTAATCTAAATAAAAAACAGAAGATATATCATATTCATCTGAATTTGTAAGAAAACAGTACCGACACATAAATAGATTAATGAATATGATGACTGTAGAATTTTCACCAATCTGTCTATTAATTGGTGAACAGAATCAAGCAGATAAAACAAAACGGCTATAACATACCTGGTGCATGAGACAAAGCAAGATATATGCTGCAAAACTTCATTACGCATATATAAGATATTATTCTAATATTAATCAACCTCTTTGGAAAAAGATCGTTAGGTCAAAACAAAAGACAATTGTCACAGCATTACTTGAAGATATATCTGAATCTACTCATATAACAACTGAAGATCACTGTTAAGCTCACTTGATTGATTGTTCGATGCAGATGAATGGTGGATGATTGTTCACAATGTACGCTAACAATGTCTGCACCTGCCTTAACAAAATCTGGCACTCGTTGCTCAGGTTCTACAATCATCTGTAAGTTGATTCTCATTTTGAGAAAAACAGGGAAGAGTGCTCTACGCTACCTCAAAGGTAAAAAAACAGATGCAAGAGCACTGGGAAAGAAGATTGAACCGTACCAGATGCACATCCAAAGGAAGATCAGTAATTGGCCGTAAGGCATCAACAACAAGAGGTCCAATGGTGATGTTTGGGACAAAACGACCATCCATTACATCAACATGGATCCAATCACATCCAGCCGCATCCACTGCTTTTACCTAAAAAATTTCAATCCCTATCATCTATAGAAATGAAAATAGAGTTTCCATTGAAAAGACTGATGGCGATCTGCTAATTTGAATCTACAAGTAAAAAAGAAGAAATACTTAGGAAGAAAAACTGCAGAGATCTTGAAGTAACACGAAAATACCAATAATGCTCCTTATGAAACTATCCAACAAAAGTTGCAGTACTCATGATTTGAATCTAACGTACACAGCTTCATATTTGGCTGTGAATACACCTTGATTCTCAAGAAAATTTATATTCATATCATTAGCATGTCTTTCAGCTGGTAGAATCCAATCTCCACACAGCAAAAACGGAGATAAAACGCAGCAAAAATCGGCGAGAAAGAATGAGATATCGGCACAACAAACCAATATATAAATTAATCAACTATTCGAGAGGTAGATCAACTCTCCACAAACCCTAGGCGCCTAGGAACAACTCAATAGAAAACTACAACAAAATACAATTCACATAATGAATATAAAACAACCTAAATAATCCTTCCAAATCTGAATTCAAATCAGTCCTCTTTCCTTAAACCTTCCTAATTCCCTCCCAATTTTGATTTTCTATGGTAAGTAATTAAAGGGATAATTAATCCCCTTTGATCCCCTCTCTCTCCTTGCCCACACTAGTGGGGCCCATAGGCTCAGCCGATCCATCAATACTTCCCTCCCAAAGAGTCGCCTTGTCCTCATCCAGTACGGTTCCGATGTTGCTTCATGGTCGGATATATCCTTCCACTCGATCAACACTTCTCTAGCTCCTCCTGTCATCGAGCAAACTCCTTTCACTTTCCTTGGCTCCAAGATCACCTCCATATCTTTTGTCAAGGTCATCGACAACATTGCTGATGGACTGTGGTCGACAATAAATGTACTCACATGGGACATATGGAACACTAGGTGTATGGTGGAAGAAGGGGGTAGCTGCAAACGATATGCCACGACACCAATCTTCTCCACAATCTCATAAGGCCCATAGTACCATGGAGATAACTTTTCACTTATTCTTCCAGCTAAGGTCTCTATTGTAGGGTCGAATATTTAAACACACTTTATCACCCACCTCGAAATGTACTTCATTCTATGCCCGTTAGTCTGCTTCTTCATAATTTGTTGTGACTGATGCCACTTTAGCTCTCCCAATACCCTATCTCATTCCTCCAACTATTGTCCACTGATGAAATTGAAGTGCTCTTGGTCCTGTAGTATACCAGATGCGGAGGGTCTCTGCCATAAAATATTTTAAAAAGTATAATTTGCACTACGCTATGGTAGGATGTATTATAACAGCACATAGCCAAGGTAACCACTTCACCCAGGTCTTGGGTGTTTCTGATACAAAATATCTCAAATAAATCTCCACTCCTATTCACCGCCTCGGTCTGCCCATCAATCTATGGATGATATGTTGTACTTTTCTTCAAAAGGGTATCCTGCATCTTGAATAGCTCTCACCATAAATAGCTCCGGAACACCTTACTCTATCTGACACTATGGACTCCAGAATTCCATGCAAGCGGACTATCTCTTGAATAAATGCTGCTGAGTGTTGCCACTGGAACCGTTATGTATGGGTGCCGTAGGAGAATAAAGTGAGTATACTTGCTTAGCCTATCCACTATTACCAAAATCACCGAAAACCCCTTCGATTTTAGCAAACCTTCAATGAAATTCATGGTTATCCCTTCCCACACCTTCTTGGACAGAGCTAGAGGTTGGATAAGTCCTCCTGGAATTTGCCATGTATTTGTGCCTTTGACAAACATCGCAGCTGGCCACCATCTCCTCTACAGCTTGCTGCATTCCAACCCAATTAAATTATGTTGCAAGCCTACGATAAGTCTTTTGTACCCTGTAGTACCATCCTATACCACTACTGTGGAACTCCCGCAACAAGTGGGGTACATATGGTGACGTCCTCGAAATCACCATTCACCCATGGAATAATAGTATATTATCGACTAAGGTATAGTCTGGATGGCTATACTTATTCCCCAATAAATCTATCCTGATTTTCTCTAATCCTTAATCTTGTTGACTTTCTAATAAGGACATCTAACCGTGGAAAGTTTATCAGAGAATGGGCCGAAGATCTCCGGCTACGTTTGGACCACTTTATTTCTTAGCATTCATTTGTATTTGATTTTTATTATTTATTTTTCCATTTTTATCCTCACTTGAGGGAGTAGGCTTATGTGACCCCAGGGGGGCACTTCTATCATTGGATATTTTATTATAAGTCCTCTATTTATAGGCCTCTCCTCTTAGAAGAGGATGATGATTATTATGATGAAAATTTTATGCACTTTATTTCTTGGAGAGTTGGGAGAGTTCTTGTGAGAGTTTGAAATCCCATGGTGAGGGCAAAGCACTACCCATCAGACATAGGAGGTGTCAAGGCTCATGGTTTATCTCCATCTCCAATTCGTCTTGCTAATTTTGTTTTCCCTAGCCACCAGCCCACTCTTTCCCCTAGCCGCCGCCCCTCTACAACCCATACCTTGGCCAACTACCGCCCCCAATTCCCTTCCTAAACCGCCGGCCACCATTCCCTCCCCTTGGCCAATTCCCCACCCTAACAACCGACCCCCCCTTCCCCTCCTAGCCGCCAGCCACCCACCTCTCCCCATTGCCTCCAAAATTTTAAACAAAGTAATCAATATTTCTAATTTTAGTGTATTGTAAATTTAGAAAGATTTAAATTCAAATTTTAATTTACTTAAATTTGAAATTTCTTTCTTAAATGAGATGTTATATTAGAAAAGTTTCTCATTCATGATAATTTGAATTTAGAATAGAGCTTTGCCCAAAATCTCCTTTCCTCGTTTAGTATTCTAAAATTGGAAACTCCTTTAAATCCACTAATTATTCCACCTCCCCTAGTCCTTGCCGCCCCATTCCCCTCTCTCCACAATTATAACCTTTCCACTTTGAGTTCCCAATCAGCCCCTCCATCAAGGTTTGTCGCCCATCCCCTTTCTCCTTAATTTGGGGTCATCCAAATTCAAATTATCCCTAATCACTCTCCCCACTTAGAGCAGCCATTAAATCCCAATTGATTATGTCTTAATTTGCATGCCACCTAGACAAGAAAGTAATTCCAGAAATTTATTAATTGTTGGAATTAAATTCCGAACTTCTAAATTGTTGTCCATGCCTTATTCTACCCTCCAAATTTGAAAAACCTCACCTATCTCTCCCTCTTTATGGCCGGTCACATCCCCCCTTCTCCATGGACAATTATTATTCCTAACTTGTAATTCCCTCAAGAAGGAGAACATAAGTCCACTCCTCGGGCCAGCTATACCTCTACTCACCCTCTCTACACCTAGTCCTCCACTTGGAGATCCCACTAAGAAAGAATTATCAACCCTTTGATTGAGTCAAGAGGCGACACCAAACCATCGACGGCCAGGTTCTAGTAAATGATCGAACATGCATCAGAAACACGAGGACAGTAAACCTTCTTTCTTACTTTATACCTTTTTTATTCCTCCTCAATCATGGCATCGCTTGATCATGAAGATTTATCCGTATAGCCCAAATCAAGAGTTTGTGTGAGTGGATCTTTATAGTGACTATTCTAATTGCTAAATTAGGAACTCTCTTTGAAAGCCTCATATTAGCATGGTATGATTTAATTTGATTATTTTGTGATCCTAATGTTATCATGTAATTGATTGTCTGAGTGTAATCACTATCTTGTTGGCTTTAATCTTTCGCTTAGATATGTGGGAAGTTAATAAATTGTTGAAGTTATATTCATAAGCATGTAATTTCAAATTCACTAACATTACATATGCATGTCATCCTACATCACTTTCCCTTCTTAAAGCCTCCCAATCCACAACTAAGGGAATAAACCGTTCCATCATGTGGGGCTTCCCCATGCACTTGGATAACCCATCTACGGCCTTTTCTCAATCCCAAGTCAATATTGAATCTCAAAATCTTAACCTAACAGTTTAAAAAATCACCTTTGATCCTCCTCTGTAATTATACTTTGCTCCAAAAGAAACTTTAGGTTTCTTTGATCAGTCCTGACAATGAAGTGGCCCTAATATGTCCCTAATAGGTAGGGTTGCCACTTATGGATGGCCAGCACAATCACCATTAGCTCCCTCTCATAGATTGACTTGAGCCTCGCCTTGACAGCCAACAGCTAACTAAAATAAGCCACTGATCTTTGGTCATGCATAAGTATAGCTCCTAGCCCATACCCAGAAGCATCTGTCTCCACCACAAAAGGCTGGCTGAAAACGTGCAAGGCTAACACTGGCACGCTGGTCATCGCCTTTTTTAACTCCTTAAAGGCTTTGATAGTTGCTTCGCCCAAATTGAAATTACCCTTCTTTAGCTATTCAGTCAAAGGCTAGGTTATTGAACTGTATCCCACAATATCTTGGGTATTGGACATCTCAGCATGGTCTCGATTTTGCTCTAGTCAGTTGTTACTCCTTCATGTGATACCACATGTCCCCAAATACTCCACTCTAGGCTGTGCAAATGAGCATTTCTTTTGATTGACAAACAAATGGTGGTTCCATATAGTAATAACACCAATCTCAAGTGTTCTAAGTGCTCCTTCACAATCCTGCTATAAATTAAAATATCATCAAATAAGACTAACACAAATCTCTATAGATATGGCAGGAATACCTTATTCATCAGGGAATTGAAAAGTGGTTGGAGCATTAGTGAGGCCAAAAGACATCACTAAAAACTCATAGTGTCCCTCATGAGTTCTAAATGCCTCGAGCCTCATACGGATCTAATGGTACCCTAACTTCAAATCAATATTAAAGAAAAACACTGCTCCATAAAGCTCATCCAACAACTTATCAATCATTGGAATAAAATCGTCTGGCACAGTCTCCTTGTTCACTAATAGCACTAGACTGGAAAATAGACTGACACTGGGTCAAATGATCCCTCTTCCTCTAGCATCTCCATGAACAATCTCTCGATCCCATCCCTCTGGATTTGGGGATAACGGTGCGAAAGAGCACTGGTAGGTGAGACTCATTCCTTCAAAATGATAGCATGCTTGTATTCCCGTGGAGGAGGCAACCCCTTAACTGGTTAAAACACCTCTCGATATTGTTGTAGGAGTGACTAAACCATGTCTGATGCTTCTATCTTCTCCCCATCCTCTTCTCGTTCCAAACTCTGCAACTCCACCAAAAATTTCACTCCACCTTCAATTCCCCTCACCATACTTTTGAGTGAAATCATAGTTTTAGGCAGGCTAGGATCCCTTCTAATAGCTATTTTCCTCCCCTCAATCTTGAACTCAATCGTTAGATCCTTCCAATTAATCTTGGTCTTCCCCAACTTCTACAACCACTGCATCCCTAGTATCACATCTGTGCTCCTCAAATCTAATCGCAAAAAGTCTTCCAATACTTGAATCTTTGGAAGGATTAGGATCACCCCTTTGCAAATTGCTCAAGTCCTCTCTACTTATCTTGTTCCCAGCATAACCCCAAAGCCCCCCATGTCAACTAATTTCAATTCTAACTGATCCAATATCATATAGGAAATGAAGTTATGGGTAGCTCCACTATCCACCAATACTACCACCTCTTGATGCCCGATCTTCCCCTTAACCTTCATGATGTTGTTCTGTGTAAACTCAACTACTGAGTTAAGAGATACCTCTGCAACATTTAAGTACAGGTGATCATCTTTCTCCTCTACTTCATCTTCTGCAACATCTTCCTCCTTATTGTAGACTGTTAGGACCTATAACAAACGGTCCTTACAATGATGGCCTGAAGCGAAGTCCTCATCACACTTGAAGTATACCCTTGTACCTCTTATCCTTAATTTCTGACTCAGTCAACCTCTTGAAGTCTCCCTAGTCATACTCCCTTACCTCTATCCCTCGGAGCTTCCTTCTAAATAGACACGTCTGCACCTTTGGTGCCAAAAATATAGTGTTTATGCAGTAGGAGACTCCCAAACAATTGCTACGGCTACTCTCTAAGGAGTCTTATCCTCCAACAGCTGGGCTAACTCCATAGGCTCTCATAAACCATGTGGTCTTAGTACTCGAACAGCTGCTAAAATATCAGGCTTAAGCCCCTTCATAAAGTTCCCCTCAAGCACAGTCTCTAACAACCTTTCCAATAGGATTGAGAAGTACTCAAACTTGCATCGGTACTCTATCACCATCCTCTCATGCACCAGAGTAAAGAACTGCTCATGGAAGTCTTTTTCCCGACTAGTTTAGAAATGTTCTAGTAAACAGACTTTGAACTCCCTCCATGATCGGATAGGATCTCACAAGTCTCTCCACTAGTACAAGGACAGAGCCTTCCCTTCCAAAAATTGAGCGGCTGTGATGAGTTTTTCATCTTCTGTCAACCCATTTATAGCAAAATATCACTACACCCTATAAATCCACACGTGAACATCTTCTCCCTCAAAACCAGCATCTTCAACTTTCTCACCCTAGGATCTCTAACGCTCTAATAGCTTCTTCCTCCGATGCAGTGGGTGTTGTGATTCCTTCATGTTTCCCTCTCCCCCAAATCAACCCTCCAATCTTCATCATCCCAATTTCTTCGCCGGCCATACCCTTCACTCGTTCCCCTCCTTAGAAGTGGCTCCAAAGGTGGAACTCCTCTTCTTCTCCCAAAATTTCGACCTCTTGATCCTCCCTTATTGTCCCTATATTAGGGTTTCCCTCACTTCCTTGTCCAGTCAACGATGCCCTTGTCTCCGATGATGCTGTTTTGGCCTGACTCTAGCATTATTTTCTATCATCACTTCTAGATTTAAAAATCTGCCTTTTAATTGCTGAAATTTGCTCTCTAGATTCAGAATTCAAAATTTCAGCTTCCCAATCAAGCCACTTCTCTAACGCATCAACCTTTTTAGTCTCCATAAGTCCCAAAAAGGTCTCTTATACCAATTTGGTAGGAATCTCCACACAACAAAAATAGCAATAACGACGGAAAAATGTAGGAGAAATCAACCAGAAAGAATGAGATATCGGCACAACAAACCAAGATATAAGTTGATCCACTATTCGAGAAGTAGATTGACTCTCCACAAATCCTAAGCACTGCTAGGAACAATTCCAAAGAAAACTACAGCAAAACACAATTCATATAATAAATATAAAACAACCTAATTAATCCTAAATAAACCTTTCTAATTCCTTCTCAAATCTGAATTCAAATCAACTCTCTTTCCCTAAAAAAACCTTTCTAATTTCCTCGCTTGTCACCCACACTAGTGGGGCCCATAGGCTCAATTGGTCCGTCACTAGCATCAAGCTTTTAAAAGGTCAACATCACAATACTCCACTTGAAGTGCTTTATTGAAAATTGAAAAAAAAATTCTTAGAATTATATCCCTATTACATTAGTTGGTATGAAATAATTACAATTGCACTTTATTTAAGGTGATAATGTAAAAAAAAAAATCACAAGAAAGGATGCTATTTAGGATTATTTAGAATTTTCTTGATGTTATTAGAATTTAATTATAATTAGCACGAAAAACCAAAAGAAAGGAAAAAAATCTCTTTTTTCTTATTATAAAAATTTAGAAACCATCCATATCAATAAGTAACAGAAGGAATGTACAAAAAAAGAGAACAACATCAAGCCTTTATCCCACTACGTGGGGTCGGCTAGATGAATCTTTTTTCTTTGTTGTGTCATGTTATGGGTCAAATTCTCATTTAAATCTAATAAAAAAGTGTCATTTCTAATATTTTCTAACCAATCCTTTTTAAGTCTACCGCTACCTTTATCTTAACATAATCCAGTCTAATACATCTTTTCTCCTAACCGGGTCATCAAAAGACCAATGTTTTATGTGACCAAATCATCTAAGCAGACTCTCTCTAAGCTTATCTGCCACTGGAACTACTCCAACATTTTCATGTATATGCTTATTTCGTATTTTGTCTCTAAGAGTAAAGTCACTCATCCACCTGAGCATCCTCATCTATGCAACACTTAACTTAATTTTATACTTCTCTTTTAATGACCAACATTCTACGCCATAAAGCATTACAGGTCTCACCACCATCTTATAGAATTTTCTCTTGAGTTTGAGGGGTATTTTTCTATCACACAACAAAGTCAATGTATTCCTCCACTTCAACCATCCAACTTGAATTTTAATAATAATATCTCCATCTACTTCACCATCACTCTGAACAATATACCTGAGATATCTAAAATGTGTACTCTTATTAATGACTTGATTGACCCAAGTCACAATCCCCCGCCAGATCTATTACTACTAAAATTACACTCTATGTATTTAATTTTAGATCTACGTAGACAAAAACCAGACTCTAGGGATGACCTCCACAATTCAAGTTTACCTTCAACTCCCTTTCTAGTCTTATGATCAACAAGAATATCATCATAAAAAAAAAATACACCAGGACTCATCCTCTTGCAAATGTCTAGTAAGAACATCCATGACTAAAGGAATAATATATGGGCTTAAGGCTCATCCTTGATGATTAAATATAAAAATGCTTCTAGATAAAGATTTTCACGTCACAAAATATATAATGAGAGAAGCACCAAAATTATCTATTGACTCTTTATGAAAAATAAAAAATGACCCCAACTTTATTAAAGGACTATTTTGGTCCCTCAACTCTTTAAAGAGGAACTAAAATAGTCTCATCATGAGACTATTTTGATTCTTTTTTTTTATTGATAAGACTAGAGAGAGAGAGTTGAAAGAAAACTTATATTATGAAGGTAAACCTTAGAGTTTAAAGGTTTTCATTCGAGCATATCTAAGATCGAATACGTGGAATATAGTTTTAGTAGTAATAGATCTAGTACTGAGATCAAGTCAATAAAAAGAGTGCACGTTTTAGATATCTTGGATCTATTGTTCAAAATGATGGTGAAATAGATGAGGATATTATTAGTAGAATTCAAGTTGGATGGTTGAAGTAAAGGAATGCATCGAACTTGTTGTGTGATAGATAAGTACCCCTCAAACTTAAGGGAAAATTTTATAAGATGATGGTAAGACCTGCAATGCTTTATAGCTCAGAATGTTGGTCATTAAAAGACAAGCATAAATCAAGTTTTACAAAGATGAGGACGCTCAAGTTGATGAATGGTTTTAAACTTAATAACAAAATCCAAAATGAGTATATAAATGAAAAGGTTGGAGCAGCTCTAGTGAAAAAACAAAAAGATTAGAGAGAGTAGTCTGATGGTTTGGTCACATGAAACATCGGTTTTCCTATCACCCGGTTAGGAGAGTAGATGTATTGGATCCTGCCTATTTTAAGATATGCAGATGTAGACCTAAAAAGATTGGATTAGAAAGTATTAAAAATGACATTTAGATTTAAATGAGAATTTAACTCTGTATAGGACATAATGGAGAAAAAAGATTCATGTAGCCGACTCTACATAGTGGAATAAAGGCTTGATGTTATTGTTGCACTCATTTTCCTGTTGAAGGGGATTTTTAATAAAGAATGTATGAAAAAGTACTCTGGTAGGCAAGGCAATGAAGAAGATAAAATACTTCACTTTTATTTCAGTGGGTTAAAATGGGATGAATCATGAACCATAAAATTGTGCAGGTACAAGTATTAAGGTAAATTGCTTCAAAACCTTCTATTACAAGAGTTTGGAAATAACCTGCTCGCCCAACCTGGAAAAATTTGCTGATAGAATAGAAGGAGAAACTATAATATCTCTTTTTGAGAACTTTTCTACACGTGACGACGCCTTCACTGTAGCAAGGAAATTCCTCCTGAAAGTTGCACAAAGTAAAAGAGCAGAATAAAGACAAAGGATGCTAGTTGCATAGCTAATAAGGCTAGCTTCATAAGCTATAATTTAAAAGCGTCGTCACTACCAAAAGAAAATAGAGAGAATTCCAGAAGGACATAGACATAATTACATAATAAACCTAAGTATCAATCATGGCCCATACGGAAAGTTTCATCTTTGGGCACGATGATAAATTCTCCATATTGCTATTTAATAAAGACTTTAGAACTCCTGTGCCTTCTTCTTAGGAGATTTTATCTTTTCCAAGAAGCAAACTTATAATCATGTACTTTTCTATCAAATAAGTTGCTGTTGGGTTAGCCTTGTTCACTAATAGAAAAGCAAACTAAGAAACTTTTGATGCAATAAAAATGATAACATGACCGATTTGCCCTAAAACAAGAGTGGAGATGTTGAGAAACCAATAAGTTTAAAAAATGTAGGATCAGCTGGTCAACATTTAATTAAGGATTTTAGTTTACAACACAATATGGGGTTGTACACTGTAAACCAACGAAGGCATGTAGGATGTCTTTAAGGTCTACAATTTCTAATGCAAATTTAAAACAAAGCAAAAATTGCAATATACCAGCTATTGATATTGTCACGCTCTGCGGCTTAAGGAGGTCACAACACATTTGTAATCATCAATCAGCATAAAAGCTTTCTTCGTAGGCTTTTATAAGAAGATTGCAACAAAAGGATATAATCATTATTATTACAAAACCAATCCTTAGATTATTCTTTTGCATCAAGGATATGTAGAGATAACAGTTGCAGGCTGGCAGGACCTTCCACTAGAAGGTCACAACACATCTGGCCATAGCTTGTACTATTTATGAACTACTGATATAGAATGTTAGGTGATATTCAGCATTTATCTATGGAAAATCCATGTTTTTCTTCTCTTATGGTATGCTATAAATTTTCCTCTTCAAATTTCTTTCATATCTCTCTTTTTGATATGCCAGCCATACAACTAAAACTCTATATTTTTCATCAAGAATATTTCATCCTAGGAGAACAAAGGGCAATTCAACTTGACGCTAATCAGACGACCTACTCAGATTGTGAGAACCAAACAGAGTTTGAAAGAGCGCAGAATAGGTTTTGCTTCCTAACCCAAACAAACTTATAATAACAATCCATATGGGTTAGGTAGATTGGATTTAGGTCGTGGCAGCAAAATTCCCTATTTATAGTGTGCTAGTCACAAAGATCTCATCTTAGCTACTTTCACATCATACACATGAACTCGAGCATGGTTGTTAAACGAATACTTATATTCAATAAAATAGTTGTAATAAACAAATCATATCTCATGCATTTATAATGCAAAAACCTTTCACAAATACAATAATTCACTTGGCAAGCAAAAGGAGGCATGTTAATGTCTGTGAAATCATACAGAAGTCATAAATTATGGTCAATATAATAAACAACATTTGTGAAGCACGATAATTTAGATAATCAGGCTTAATATGGCATATGTATAAATTTCCAATAATTTAGTAAGCCAATATTGAAAAGGTGAATTCGCTTTCCATCAATCATACAAAATAAAAACTAAGTAGTAAAAACGTAGGTGAACTACTTTATAAATTTAAGGGTGGTTTTTTTTTATTTTAGGAAATTTCTGAATATGTCCTTCTACCCCTCATTTCGGTAGAAAAAAGTATGGAGGATACATATATTTTTTGGTTTTTTGTTGAGAACTACTTGTGAACCTGACCATCTCTCACCAAGTGCAACTCGCAGAAAAAAAAAAGGTTAATAAGGAATAAAAATGTGGCGTCAATTTGTTAGGACAGGATTCATGTTGGTGATGACAATGATGATAATGAATTCTTTATTCAAAGAAAATAAGCATCATTCCCTAGGGTTAGCCCGGTAAGCACCATAATTGAGTATAAACCGTCCAAATAGTTAGGCACTCCAAGGTTTAAATCATCATGCAATCCATGTGTTATTTTCCCTAAATGCAACAGAGGATCCTCATTATCGCTCAATTTTACTCCTGACCAATTTCAAATTTCCTTGACCAAAATATATACATGCCAAAACGAAAAGGAATCAAGATCACAAGCATATAGGTTGCCTTTCGCTCACTCAAAGGAAATCCTAATTCCAGTGACCAGTTGATAAAAAAATGAGAATGCACTCTTTCATATGGGGCATTACTATATAAACTATTATAAGGTTGCAATTATATAACTCAGCGATTCTAATTATTTCCCTTAACATGGTAATTGAATAAACAGAGTAGTCAATTTCAGCAATTTAATCCACTTTGAATGGATAAAATTGATTCCGCTAGTTTTTTTCCCAAAAAAATATGGTTTTGAATAAGAAGAAGAACAAGAAGGAGAGGAAGAAGAAGAATTATTATGTGGTTTGTATGTAAATCCTTCAAAATTATCAAAAGTGAAATACACATTTTGCTGTACAAATTTTGCAATAATTTAGAGACAATTGGGTATTGTACTTGTAAATATAGAGCTTTAGGTATCGATACGTAAATGCATAAGGATTTTGTGATATCTGTAATAATTCCGACCATCCAAAAGTGCATTAGATGGTTTGGATGGCCAGAATTTGAGAATTGTACATATCTAAATTTGTAAGGATCCAATTTGATAGCTCATACGATCGTTATGGAAACCAGAGAAAGGCGGGCAATATTCGTCGAATTCAACAAAATTCATCAAACAGTGAGAACTTGAGAAGATAAAGTGGGAAATTGGAAAATGAGATGTTATTAAATAGTAATAGACATGAAACAAGCAGGCGAGCGTACCTCGTCGCACTCTCCGTCCTCCTGAGTGTAAAGCACATACTAGGGTTGGTTACCGACAAGCAAACCAAAGAAAGAGAAGGAGAAGCGACTGCGGCCGCCATCGCTGCAACACAGAATACCATTTCTCCTTTTCTACTTCGTGTGGCCCAAAATTCGTATAATGGAAGGGAATCGAGCGAACAGGAGCTTTGGGAAGTACTGAGGAGAAGGAGAAGAGGTGCCTCACTAACTAGGAAAATAAAATTGCTATTCTAATTTAATTAATTATTTTGTTTTGTTTCTTTTCAGTGCAGAATACCGGCTGCCACGTGCCCACCGCAGCTGGGCGTGTTATCCGCATACGTAGCCAACGGTGGAGAAGGCAGGGAAGACTATCCGGCCCTACGCTTTGAACTGCTGGTTAAGGCAAAATTAGAAGAAGAAAAGTTGACTTTAAATGCCTCCTAAAAGAGAAATTATTAAGTGCGGAGTTCATACGTAACTCTTCATATGTGTCCTCATATATAATATGTTATGAAGAAAAATTTATTATGCATCGAGTTCGATTATATTTGGATTTCCATAAAAATGTGACATATATTTTTATACATAGTATTTACAATTGTTCACATTATATACAAATTATAAAATTATATACATAGTGTGTACAAATTTTATATAATATATACATTATATACACAGTTGTAAAATGTGTAAAAAAATTTATACATATTTTGTACAACTATGTATATAGTGTGTATATTATGTATATAAATTTGAACATATTATATACTAAACATAATTTTACAATTTGTATATAGTGTAAACAGTTATACACATTGTATTATTGTATACAATGATACATGTCATGTTTTTATTTGAGTCCGAACATAACTGAACTCCGCACATAATAATTTCTCATCGTAACATAGTTAGCTGATCAAATATTTATTATTTAGAAATTTTTAATAAATATTCTTTAATAAAATTATCTTCCATAAAGGATCATTTCTTATCTTCCATAAAGGATCATGAATAAAATTGATTCAAATTTAAATATTGGTTCGAACAATTATTCAAATTTGATTCGAACCAACTTAAACTTGGTTCGTGCATTCATTGGCAAGTTTGGCATACATGGAGGCATGAAGGAGAAGAAGAGGAATTTGTGATGGCAACTTGAATGTGGGCTTCGGTGGCACCATTGGCTTGTGAAGAGAAGAAAAGTTTTTAATGTAGCTTGTTTGAGAAGGCATTGCGCGGCCAAAGAAAACATCACAATAGGGGTTGCATGCAAAGGAGCTTGACGGGAAGGCATACTGGGATGGCGGCATGTGAAGAAGGAGAAGTTTGTGACGGGAAGTCATCAGCGGCGAGCTTCCATGGCACTAACAAGATTTGAGGAGACGAGTTGTTGGGGAAGGCATAACAACATGCTCAATAGGAGAAGGCAATGTGGAACAAATGATGAGCTCATTAGGAAAGGCATCACGAGACTGATACATGTGTTGATAACGATGTTTGAATGAAGGTTCTAATAATGATTCAAATTCGAACCATTTTGAATTACTTTAATTTATGATGGACTTCAATTCACAGATATAATTATGGTGATTTCAGACATATTTCAGTAGAAAATAAACAACAAGCATATTTTAGGCATATAAAGTCAAATTTCTCCTAGTAAGTTCTATAAATTCAAATTTGATAAATTATAAGAGAACTAAAATCTAAAATTTATTTAAAATGTTAACACTTAAATTTTGCAATTTATTATATTATTTATTTTAATATTTAAGATTTATGAGAACAATTTTAAAGTTTTATTCATTTTGAAGTATTTGGAGTGTGGAGTAACATGAATCCACGAATATTGAAATATAAGTATTTAACTGCAAGTACAATGAATGCAAACTAATTTTTGGATGAAATTAGAACACCCAAATATATAATGTCATAAATAGGGGTGTCAATTTCGGGTCACGGGTCGGGTTCGGGTCGAACCCGGAACTGACCCGGGTTCAAACGGGTCAACCCTAACCCGACCCGGGTAGACAAACAGGTCGGAAAACCGAACCCGGACCCGACCCGGCGGGTTGCCGGGTTGACCAACCCTATACTTACTCAGCCTATAACCACTATATTTACATCTCCATCATACTTATAATTCCTTCAATTGGCATATCCTTGCCCTATAACTGATTTTAATTTACTACCAACAAACCAAATTTTAAAAAAAATATATATTTTTTTTATTTTACAATCAATAAAAAAACCTAAACAAATTAAAATGTAATTTATATAATTTACACTGCATTTAAATATGCAAATGACATATATAAATGGTTGCAACAAAAAAACTCCTAAATTGATCAAAAGTTGAGAATTGTGTCATTTAAAAGATCATGACTTTTAATCAATAATGAAATTAAAATGATTTTCACTAAAATGGTGAGATTTAAATTTGATCGTGACATGTACAAATGCATGTGTTAAATAGTTCATTTTTTGAATAAGTATTAGATTTATAAATATAAATGATTTGATGGTGTTTCCATCTTTTCCTTAAATTATTTAGTGGTGATTTGAGTTCACAACATATATATTTTTGGCAAGCAAATGAGTGATCGAATAAACAAAAAAATGAGTATCGTTATGCCACATATTTTTAGTGATACTAATAAAGGAACATCAAAATTAAGCTAAACTTTTAGTAGCAAATATGTTGTGAACTCAAAAGCATAAGCATGTGATGAGGTTTCATCACTTGACATTTCTATATTAGCATATTTTTTAAGTATCTAATGTGGGATTAAATCAAAAGTTTTATATATCTTAACATTTTTTCTCTTCACATAAGAGTTATCAGGATCAACCTTCACTCTCCTCTCAATTGAAAGCATCATCGAGTATCATATAATACAAAATAAAAGCCAATTAAGTACTCTTGGGAGTCGCAAATCAGATGAACCACTTGATCCTGACAGAATATGAACGAAACAAAAATCAAATTAGGCAAGATACATTAGTGATCAAACTTACTTTCAACCTAAAATGTTAAGCTCATGAATGAAAATCAATCACACCCGATTTCTAAATTATTATATTTTTTTCAACTATCTAATACGAGACGAAATCTAAAACCTCACGTGCCTTATAACACATAAATAGAATAATTGGAGCAATCATTACACTCTTATATTTCTCTCTTATTGCAAATCCAAATATAATTATATAACACGTGCAATGTATTTATTCCTATTTCATGCGTCCTAAGATGAGCAAGCACTTGCTATGTACCATAAAATGCTTTTATTTATATGATTCATCATTGAGAAAATTGCATATGTATCATACAAGTCTTTTATTTTATGTAAATAGCTTCAAAGAGAAAAGATTAAAAAAAAAAAAAACTAACAAACCTATGTACTTGTACCTACCACAACTAAATTATTGAGAATTAATATGGGCTATACTTTTATTATACATTTTGAGAATTGGATGTTACTATTATAAAATATTTAGATGCTACTTTTACAAATATGTAAGATTTATCATGTTACACGTGAAAGTCTCTCATGATTTTGTCTATGAGAATTATATTTGCTGTTTAAAAAAAAGGGAAAAATTTTATGCTTTCTTAAAAATATGTGCTATAAAAGGCTCATAGTTGGTGATCTTTTTCCACCAACCATTCTAGTTTGTTTTCATTTGTATACTTTACAATTAAGTATAAAGAATTTGTAGATTTAAATATTTAGTGATATCCTTGTTCACTATCAAAATCTAGGAAGTTTATGAAAGGCATTTCATTATAATTTCGTGCTTGAGTTTGCCTATCACAGTTGCATATATTCATTAGGTGTAGGAAAATACAAGGTGGAGGATACTCAATTATTGAGAAATGAGCTTTTCCTTAGTTCAGATGAAATAGTAGAATCATAAGAAAACTAGTGCTTAATAGTGAATGTAATATATTTTAATGATGAACCATATAAAATGACCAACATTTGAATTTTCCACTAGTTTAGTTCTATATTCTTTCATATTTTTTTGCTTGGTTTGATGTTTCACATGTTTGTATAATAATCTAGAGTTTTAAATGTTAAAATGCTATTATAAGTAAATCATTCAATGTTGTGCTTATTAGCCTATTGCTCTCACGTATAACATTATATCCTCATTGTGATCATGAATCTTGTATGTGCACTTTTATAGCTTACACAGTTTTGTGTTTGTTGTTCTAAATGATTAATAGTTTTTGTGTTTGAATATACCAATAATCATTAAATTTTTGAGTCACATAATCTTACTTCAAACTTTATCTTTGACCAACACCATTTTATATAAGTTTATGTATGTTTGTTTGATTGAAATTATATGGAACATAATCAATTATATAATTTTACATTTCACATTTTTAATGTTTGGTTTGAGTTCTAAGGAATTAAAAAAATAGATATGCATGTTTGTTGCATACCTAATTCACCCCTCTTGATGTACCTAAACTCCACAAAGGCTATTTTCCTTGTCCACTCCTTTGAACATGATGTATTTGTGAACATCAATAATTTTGTCATATAATTGTGTTTGCTAATGCTAGTGCTGGACAATTACAAGAATCGCGCGGTAATGGTTCAAAGTAGGGGTGTAAACGAGTCGAGTTTAGACCCTTATCGAGCTCGGCTCGTTACATGGAAAGCGAGCTCGAACTCGAGCTCGAGCTCGATAGTCGAGCTCGAACTCGAGCTCGTCTAACTGTAAACGAGCTCCAGTACGGCTCGATAGCCATGGGTGGGAATTTTTAAATTTAGGCGGGACTTTTAAAAATTTGAAAAATTAGGCGGTATATTTAAAACTTAAGCGGGATTTTTAAAACTTAGATAAAATTTAAAAAATTATATATGAAATGTTTAACATTTAAATAAAAATTAGGTGATTATTATTTTTTTATTTATATTTAATAAATAAAATAAAATTATTTTAAAAAATATAAATATTTATTGGAGCTTGCTCGCGAGCTCACGAGCCGAGCCGGCTCAAGCTCGAGCTCAAGCTCGTTTACTAAACGAGCTCGAACTCGAGTTCGAGCTCGACTCGCGAGCTCGATAAGCTCGGCTCGCGGGAGCTCGAACTCGAGTTCGAGCTCGACTCGCGAGCTCGATAAGCTCGGCTCGCAATCACATAAACGAGTCGAGCTCGAGCCGGCTTGCGAGCCGGCTCGGCTCACTTACACCCCTAGTTCAAAGTAGGGGTGTTTAA